GGTTAGAGGTTTCATGAGTAATGCGCATTTCGGTATGAAACGTCTATAGAAACTTACGAGACCGTTAAACGTGCGTAATTGCTTGACGGTGGTCGGTTCTGGGTAATCCAGAATGGCCGCCACTTTGGTCCTAAGAGGTCGAATGCCTTGAGCATCGATAGTGTGTCCTAGGAAGTCTAACGAGTCGGTTCCGAATTGGCATTTCTGAACGTTTACAGTTATGCCATGTTTTTGTAGTCGTTCGAAAACAAGATCCAGATGCTTGAGATGTGTTTCTCTGTCCGGACTTGCGATTAGACAGCCGTCAACATACGCATGTACGAAGTTGAGACCTCGAAAAACGTCGTCGATGAATCTTTGGAATGTTTGAGCAGCATTCCTTAGACCGAAAGGCATTCGCAAAAATTCATAGAGTCCGAAAGGAGTTATGATAGCTGTTTTCGGTATGTCGTCAGTAGCCATAGGGATTTGGTTATACGCTTTAACCAAGTCGATTTTCGAAAACACAGTTGTACCTTTCAAGGTAGCTGTCAAATCGTGAATGTGAGGCAACGGGTAACGATCGGGAATGGTTTTCGCGTTCAATCGCCGATAGTCACTAGTTGGACGCCAATCGTTGCTGTCCTTTTTAGGGACCATGTGCAACGGAGATGCATATGGGCTACTTGACGGTCGTATGATTCCTAAGTCCATCATGTGATCGAATTCGTTTTTCGCCAACCTCAGCTTTTCGGGGGCTAGTCGGCGTGCTTTATAGGACACAGGTGGTCCTGTAGTTGTGATGTGATGTGTAACGTTGCTGGTTACACACGGTAGTTTCGGTAGTGTTTGTTGTATCCCAGGATACTTATCGAGTAGTGGTTGATAAAGTGGGTCTATCATATGTTTAATTGTGACTGGGGATAATCTGCAACCAGGAAAAGAAGTTACGCAAACGGATAAATTAGTGTTTCCGTCTACTAGCTTCCGTTTGCGCGTATCGATGATTAGATCATGGTGTTGTAGAAGGTCCATACCAATGATTGACATAGAAACATCTGCAACAACGAAGATCCATTGAGTGGGTTTGCGTAAACCCACGTTAAGGTAAACGTACCTTTTGCCATACGTAGCGATCGGTTTCCCGTTTGCCGCCTGTAAGTTGAGGGTCGATTCGTGTAGTCGGTCGTTAGGATTTGCTGGAAGAACGCTAACTTCTGCGCCAGTGTCGACGAGGTAGCGAACTCTCGTTGTCACATCTGTGACGAATAACCGACGGCTTTGTTCGCCGGCTACGGTTGCCGTTAATGCGTGCCGGCTTGGAAGTTTCCCGAATTGCTTTTCGAATCAGTCGGTTTCGTGTTGGGAAAATTGCAGGGTTTTCTGCAATTTCCGGAAAACTTTCCATACTGGTTATGATACCAGCACCAGTCGGGGTTATCTGTCTCTCGTGGTCTAGAGACAGATCGCTTACGTGAAATGCTTCTACTTGGTGTGCGCGATCTCTTACGGTCGGTACGAAGACTAAGATAACGCGTGAGTGTGTGACATAAATCGGTTATATCATTCTGAGTCGTTTGAGGTTTTTGTTTGACTGAAAATACCTCGGTAGTAGAAGGTTTCGTAATTTCTAAAATGCGGTCGGCAGATGCAGCTAGCTCGTCTAAGGCGTTGTTCTGGAACGAGACCAGAACTGCTTGCACCTGTTGGGGAAGTTTTGACAAGAAGAGTTGTTTGAACAGACCTTCGTCAAAAGTTCTTGGGCCTATTACCTCTCTCATCCGTTGCAACATGTCCGTCGCAGAACCGTGTTGCAGGTCGATATTGTTGAAGAGTTGATCTAACCTTTGTCGATCGGTTAGGTCTCCTCGTTTAAGAATCGAGCGTTTTAAGATTTCGTAAGGATCGGAAACATCACTAGTAAACATACTAGGTGTTACGTACCTGTTGAATTCGCGCGGTAGTGCCTTGACTACTGCGAGGAATTGTGCACGTGTGTCGATCACGCCGTGCTCGGAGAAGTCGGCTTCTGCGTAGCAAAACCAGGCTTCGATGTTGTCGGGCCAGAAAGGCATCAGTTGAAACGAAGGTGGGGACAAGGTCTTAAGCTTGAGTACTTTAGGTGTCTGTTCAGTCATGATGAAATATGAAGTACGATAATGAACGAGGGGAAAATATATATGTATCCAAGAAAAAATACGAAAAAAAAATCACAATGTTTAAAAAAGAATAAGAAATTAGGCAATGATATATAAAAATCCCAAAAAGGAACAGACTCACAGTTGCAAATAGGTGTACCAGATCACGTCGGTTTCACCAATGATGATGTCACAGGTATTCAGTGTTTGACAACGCTTCTACCAGTAACACCTTCTAATGTATTTCGTTCCCACCCAGAGAAATTAAAAGACAGAGTCGTGGAGATCGGAAGAGTATATTTGGCGATGACCAATATATCGGAATTCTCTGATCTAATCTGGCTAGCGATTGCGGTTGATGTTGAGCACGGCGTTACCACACGTGATCTGGTGCGGATGTATGACCGAGCGCCTTCAGCTAGATAAGTCCACTAAAACATATGGTCAGCATCCAATGTCGAAAACTTAGGGCTATTTATTTTGGGGATTTATTTACCGCTACATCGTCTACTTCGTTATTAGTACTGCTTTAATAATAGAACTAGTCCTAAAATTGTAGATTTGTCATGATATAACTGCCTAGTTTATAAGATCTTACGTGGAAGTCACATCATCGTCTACACCAACTCACTGTATCGTAACAACTACCAATACATGATGAAGAACAAGCTTAGGCTAGAGAAAGAACAATATATTTAATATGAATAAAAGGTATAAGGTAATATTCGGCAGTGACCACGCCTGAATGGCCGAGCCATACCATTCGATCAACTCCAATTCATTCAGTCATTATTCGCGCCTTCTCCGTCGTTAGGTATTTTTCCGCGTTAAATGTTGAATATTTATTTTCCGAGTAATCTCGTATTCAGCTTTGAGGATTGTGTAGTTATGGTCCATTGCCACTACAAACCTTATCTGGCAAAAAAATCTCACTGATAAGAAAGTATTGTAGATCACCAACGTAGATGATCTGTGTAGAATGATTGGAGGACTACTCGAGTTAGACGGGAATGGAATGACGAACCAGCTTACTTCGAAGTCACACCCCGCGATCAGCATCTAGCGTGGATTACCCCTTCGATGTATCAAAGTACTATGTCTGCTTCGAAGACCGTATAACACAAAGGACTTTATTATGAAAACATGTTAGTAGGAATGAGTACAGAGAAGATAGTGGGATAACCAGTGCATGGGCCAGTTTATGGCTTACGATGAACTGATGCGCGTTGGTTGTCCTTGACATTGACAGGGATCGATGATATGTTCGATATTCCGTGACCCAACTGCCGAATGATTTGGTTAGGGCTCAGTGACATTTCATCGGCCCTACAGTATATTTCATTTCTTCATCCCATTTAGTCCTTTATTGACTTCCACCTTTCACAATTATTCAAAGTTCTTTTTTGAATCTTCTATGACAGAAAGATATTTAGCTCGAATGGTCATTCGTCTAGGCTTCAGTATTATCCTACTGATTCTAAAAACCTCCCTTGAGCGACCAAAAATTAGGAGAAACATATTTAGAGGACTCGCAACAAAAAGTAAGTACTACTTCAATGGTATCTTCCTCTTTGTTATCTAGTCTATGCACTAAAACGGTATTTGCAAAACTCACAAACAAACCTCGGTTCATACTGTCTTCTGAACAGTCGTAAAACTGAAGAGCAGGTGTTTTTGATTTGCATGTACTGTTAGTTATGTTCATAACTAACGAATCAAATCGTTGCTTAAGCTTCAACCATGTCAATCTGATCTGATGTGTCTGTAGATTATCCCTATTGCATTTGACCTGTCAGTTGAAGGACATTATTATCCCATTATATTCGTGTGATTGCAACTCGTTCTTCATTCATTTCGATAAAACACGCAATAATAGTCGGTATGTTTATGCGTTCCACTTAATGATTAGAATCCCCTTAACTAGTGTACTAATCAAATTGTTATTTTTACGTTTAGAAACAGATAAAGTTTATAGCTAAATTATCCTTGTTCTGACTATAGCTTTCACATTGATTCTAGGGTCGCCAGTTTAGCGTTTACAGTTCTGGTAGAACAACTGTAGGACAGATTAAGTCCTACATGTACCTAAATATACCTTTATCATTACGTAGATTTAACTGATCTCAAAAGTTTTCATCATCGAAAAAAGTCGTATGGACATACCAATTAGTTGCACGTATCGCCTGTACAATCCCCCTAACATCACTTTCCTTCTAAAAGTTTTTTTGAAATACTGAACAGTTAGTCCCAACCCTAAAAACAGAGTTCTCTGCCGCTTGACAACTATCACCATCTCATATATCCCACCTTCATATGACAGGCACTTAGGAACAGTGATGGGTGAAACATTTCTCGTGAAAAATTCTAGTCTACCTTGTCCACACGTCACTATCATTGAAAGTCATAGCTTAAAGTTTCACGATTATGTGGTAGACAAAGTTAATAATATAACGAAAAATGCAAAAAATGTTGCTGTTACACCCGAGTTAATAAACTATACTCATGATGTATTTTAAGAACTAAGAAAACTTTTTCAATATAAATCAAAACTAATCATATCAAACTATTTTCTAAGTTTACATAATAAAAGCTTGCATGTTAAGAAAAAGCTGAAAACATTTTATTGGTAAGCAAAGAATATCTTTCTAATGTTTGCACTATTTTTGAACCATATTTAATAAGGTGATATTGTTGAGTAGTTTCCTATTATTCTGAAAAGTGCTTTTTATAGTAAATACAAAGGTTAGAGGTTTCTATATAGAAGGTTGCATAGTAGTTAAATAAAATTAACAAGTTGTTTAAATTATTACATTTATCTTCTGTAAATTATGAGTTTTGTACATTTGTACTTATTTAAACAAAATTTCTTGATAAATATTTTTTTCAACAGACTGATACTAATGATGCTAAATCATGGCTTCTCATTTCCTTCCTTTGATAACCACTATATCCTGGCAAATTTAAATTGCTAGAAACAAAATATTTAAGAAAAAGGTCATTTAATGTGTGGATGATGAAAACTAAAGTTTTCCGGGCTTTATGTTGTCGTAGTATAACAAATGAGTCTTTCTTATTAGTTTCTTGGTAACGACATATGTCGTAGTGTATATTTCTGAACGATGGCCGATTTTTTATCATGTTACAGCATGACTACTCATCTAGTATATTAAATATTGGAGTATGTGTCTCATGTGGTATCACTTCATCACAAATATATGAATTACATGCATTTATCAACGTTATAAAGTCTTGATTACGAATAATATTTTCCATTTCTAGAGTAGTATTATTTATTCCTTGAGGATAATTTCTTCACAAGAAAACAGAAAACTTTTAGGAAACTACGGGGTATCGGATTATTGATTTATCCTAGATTTTTACCTTCGGTTATCCAGAAAACACTACACATAATAACGCACGTAACCTATAACGTATTATATAACCTAAACTTTATATTTTGTTTGCCTTAAGGAAAAGAAAAGTCATCAAAAAAGCTGGCAATTGACTTTATTTAAAATTATATAGAGGTTAGTTTCCATGTTAATAGTTCACCATTTTCAAGAAAATGGACATTCAAACAAACTTTTTGATAATCAGTGGCCCTTAATTTTATTAACAAGTAATAAACGTTCTACAATAATACCTTTGCAGATGGTATGATGCGAAGTGCTTAATTACTATTCCGAAAGATTTTTAATAAACCTATCAACATTGTAAAATACTATGTACAAGTTAGTAGCGATTAGTATTTGAAGGCTTATAGGATCATATGTTAGCTTTCGAAGCGATAATTATTATCAGAATGGGTTTTGTGGAGATTTTTAGAAATTTTACTGGCTGAAATCATGAGTCGATTGAAGCTAGACCACCATGGAAAACCTGGAAGCACCGGACGGCCGTTTCGTCCTAGTATGGGACTCCTCAGCGGCGCGCATACACGATCCCACCCCCTGCGAAATTCGGACCCAGGACCTATCAGTCTCGCGCCAGGCGCTTAACTAACTAGACCACTGAGCCGGCATCCAACGGTGTTAATGTCTAACTTCTAGTTCTAGTGAGATGTCGTTACTAGTGGAGTTCAACCACGTCTGTTGTGAGATAGGAACTCACTGAAGACAACGATGTACGGCGGCGCAACTTCATGAATTGGTTGAAGTGAGACATTAACACCGTTAGATGTCAGCTAGCTCAGTGGTCTAATTGGTTAAGAGCCTGGCGCGAGACTGATAGGTCCTGGGTTCGAACCTCGCGGGGGGCGGGATCGTGGATACGCGCTACTGAGGAGTCCCATACTATGGCGAAACGGTCGTCCGGTGCTTCCAGGTTTTCCATGGTGGTCTAGCTTCAGTTGACACATGATTTCAACCAGTGAAGCAATAATTATTGATTGAGTATCTTATTGTGGTAGTTAACGTGAATATTTAGGTACAGTCAATTGGTGAAACAGATAGAATGAAACGTGCGTCCCGAATCCCAATACTAGTCACAATTCAAATATACTCAAATCCGTGACAAATAGGCGATATGGAGAAATCTACTCAGGATATCAACAAGAGTTGGTCAAAATTAAGTCTTGAACATCAGAAACGAGATAGTACAAATCCTTGTAAATATAAAACATCCGTTAATAACAAAATAGGAAGTGAATATAATTGTCACTACGAAAACGACAAAGATTAAATTAAACTGTTGTCTGGTTGTGAAATATATTATATCTACATTAATTTGGCCGTTTAATGTGTAGACAACATCAGTTACCAGAATGTGATCACATGCGAATAAAGTAAGTAACCATTTATACAACCTGATTTAAAAATTCAAACAATCATAAATTACACGATAGAAATAACTTAGATTGATTAGTTTTATAATTGTAGATTGTTTTTACTTAAATGTTTGACTCAAGTTCCAATAACGTGTTGGGCGAGAGCACCTAGAATATTACGAATACTACAACTAGTTGTACTTAACTGACTGGTAAGACAAAGATATATCGAGAATTATTTAATTTTTATCCAGACTGTTTTTCAACGATGGCCTTGTGGTTAGTCTCTTTTTTATTTGAAAAACTACCTTTAAAAATACTGAAAACCATGTATCAATGGAAATTATTTCCAATTTTAGTCTTCTAGCCAGTTATTTTCTCTGTTATACCGTTATGATACAATAATTATACTTAAATGTGTATCGATCGGTAAACCCAGATCATATAATCAATTCACAACAAAAAAGAGTTTTACATTAAACGGTGCTTGAAAAACATGATTTCTAAGCTACTTACAGATCAAATACATATTCATGAGGAATATCTTGACGGACTAAATTCAATGATTTGTATTTATGGTACGGGTTATCTAAATCAATACGTTTTTCGCCCGTACAAAACGATCCACTATAATGAAGTCATGGGTGAACAGGATAATAAAAAAAAGAAGTAGGCTAGTAAACATAATTATACATGAATGAATTATGTTTCTCTCACATAGGTATACAAATTTCGTGACAATAACACTTAATTCAGTCAATTATTAGGGGCATCTAGCTTAAAAATATTTATTCTAGCGTAAACATGAAACTCATTATTTTTCAGAACAGATAAATACGTAGTAATGATAATAGTATATTTCACAATCAAAGGAAAATTCAGTATATGATACGGGATTCGCTGAAGTTGAAAAAATATAATATCATCAACGTCAATCACCCACTGATTCCATTATATACAATACATGCCCTAGATACTAACAATCAGTCCATGTTCTTAATCATCAACTGTCATTTGTAATGTAGTTCTTCAATGTGAAATAAAGTTGATTATGTGGTATGATTAAGAAAAATGAGAACGTTTCTGTAAAGAAAATTTTCTTGTCAGGGAAGACTTTGTTCATGTACACTGAATTCTAAGGGGATAAGGCTGCAGAGATCTGAATAGACCATTTTTGGAAATCCTTAAGGAAAATTTTAACTCACCCGAGCTACGACTTGTATTTTATAGTAGATGCCTGATCCAAGGATGTGCTAAGGATAAATTGACGCGTTGGATCATTTCAATGTGTAGAACCTGTTTACATTCTCATGTAGAGCATTTCATGCTAACTGGACAAGCATCCTGTTTCCAAACTTTTATCAAAACACTATCCGCCACGATCATCGAAAAGTGGGTATAAATCAGGTGGACTGTTCGATTGCTGAACGTCTATTCAGTTTTGGCCACTTACCTTCACTAGAAAATTACCTCAGAATTATTCATAAATCGAAATGAAATAGTTGTAGGGGAAGCCTATGCATAGCTAACTCTTTAACAATTCATTGCTTCAAGCCTGCTCTTTGCATTCAGAAGCGATACGTTTGATACTTTAGTTTACTTTGATCCTGATGCTCTCATGATAATTTGTAAGTTCTTTGTTTACACCTTAACCTTTCTTATGTCACATGGACAGTGCCCTTTCACTGATGAGAAGTCCCATACTAGGACGAGACGGCCATCCAGTGCTTCCAGGTTTTCTAACGTGGTCTAGCTTTAATTGATTCATTAATTCAAAAACCTATTCACCTGCTTAATGGTTTGTTCTGGATATTTAATCATTCAGTGGCTTGTATCAATCACACAGTCTCATGAGCAGACATCACTCGGTAGTATCGATTAACAATCTATTCAACAATCTCTACAAAATTCATATGGAAATTATTTATAATCGACTTACCTGTAACCAGGAATTTGATTAATTCGTGAATTATAAGAACAACTGTGATGTAAGAAGATGAACATGAGTAAAATATCAAATGCGTGAAATTAAAAAGTATTATGACAAGGCATTTAAAGTTTATTCCTATTACCTGGTTGGTATTATTCAAGAGATGTTAATCAAAATAAAGGAGTTCAATAAATTTAACTTCTTACAGAGAGTATATTGTACCTTTAATTATTCAAATAATCAAAACTTCCCACTTCAAAATAACTTTCACTATATTACTATCTTAACTGTGATGTTATTACCGAGGATGATTTGATTCATTTCACAAATCACAACTTTCTGTCATGATCTCAAAAGTTTGTTTTTAAGGTAGTCAGAACTAAAACTATCATTAGACTCATTAGAAATCGTTTAGTTAATTAAAGCAACATTATACAATTTATACTGTTAGATTGTGATCTGAACCCTGTAAAACAAATTGGTCGACCTAGAATTATTCAATATGTTGTTGGTTTTCTTTAATAATAGAGTGCGATGATTTGTATAAGTTGATCAGTAGCTAGTATTGTTTTAACTCATTTTATGGAGATTTATAAATACGATTTTCAGTATAGGAGTTGTGGATATTATTAGGTTTTTGATTGAGATCATGAACCGATTGATGTTAGACCTTCGCTGGAAAACTGGAAGCACTGGACGGTTCAGTAGGTTAAGCGTTCGCATGCGAGACTGAAGGCCCTGGGTTCGAATTCCGTGGATGCGCAATGCTGAGTAGTTCTGCAATAGCACAGAACGGCCGTCCAGTGCTTCCATGTTTTCAATAGGGGTCTAACATCAATCGGTTCATGATCTCAATCAAATATGATTTTACCTTAGTATGCTGATGAACTTCATGAAAACACGAATTTCGTTAGGATCAGGAACACAAAACACGTTTACATGTCTTTAAGACAGTTTTTAAGATATGATAATGCATATCTACACAGAGACTAAACGAAACACTAAACACCTCTAACTGCAGCACTGAAAGAAATGGTAGTATGTTGTGTGATATGAACTGTAACTGTTCATTCAACAAATGAAATTAGATATTAAGCTTTGCTTAATGTTGAAATACTGTTAATGTTGTGGACGTCATTCTGTTATTGATTTCTGTTTTGAGTTCCATTGTGTGTAGACTATTTCTATTGTGCTTAATGCTTCATTTTCTGATTTATTGTTTGGTTCAAATCTAAGGTCAAAAATCGTGTACCGATGTATGACGTAATTCACTTAATTCCTAGTGTGCCGACTGAGTAGTCAGTCTAATCTGTTATCGTTATATATCGTAGAGTAGTAAAATCATACATTTTATTTTTTCGTTACATCTTACATATTTACTGACTTACGCCTGTTAACCCTGATGGAGGAGTGTAGGCCGCTCATCAACATTCTCCATCCAACCCTGTCCTTAACAATCTCTTCCAGTTGCTATTCATCCTTTTCATGTCTACTTCTAGTTATCGACACTGTGTGTTCTTCTGCCTTCCACTTTTATGTTTCCCTTCAGAATTCCGAGTTAGCGTTTGTCATATGATGCAGTTTGATGACCTCTTCAGTATATGTCATATCCACTTCCATCATGTTTCCTAATATTCTCTTCAGCTAGATATTGGTTTGTTCTCTCACATAGTAGGCTATTGCTGATGATATCCGGTCAACGGACATTCGGTATCTTGTGTAAACAACTATCTATAAATACTTGTACATGTTTGACGATAGTTGTGGTAGTTCTCCACGTTTTAGCTCCATACAGAAGAACTTTCTTGACATTCTTAATGAAGATTCTCACTTTAGTATTGGTTGGCAGTTGTTTTGAGTTCTATACGTTGTTCAGTTGTGGGAATGCTGTCCTTGTTTTGCCAATCCTCGATTTTACATCTGCATCAGATCCTTCTTGTTCCTCGATGATGCTTCTCAGGTTCGTGAAAGTTTCCACCTCTTTCCGAGCTTCTTTATCAAGTGTGACTGGGTTGATGTTCTCTGTGTTGGACTTGAGGATCGTGCTTTTCTTTTGTTATATTTTAGACTACTGATGCAAAGGCTGCTGATACACTAGTTGTCTTCATCTGCATTCGTTGATGGGCATGAGATAGAAGGAACAGGTCATCTGCGAAGTTCAGATCGTCTAATTGATTCCGAGCGGTTCGTTGCATTCCGTGTTTCCCCTCAGATGTCGAGCCCTTCACAATCCAACCAACCATCAGAAGAGAGAGGAAGGGTGAGAGAAGGCAGCCTTGTCTGACTCCGTTCCCCACTTGGGATACGTCTGTCAGCTGTCCTCCATGTACAACATTACGTTGTAGCCCGTTGTATCAATTCTGGATGATGTTGACGATCTTCTCAGGTATACCATAGTGCTGAAGAAGTTTCCATAATGTCCTCCTATCCACACCGACAAATGCTTCCTCATGATCAAGAGTGTTTATGTATATGTATGCATCATTATAAGGAATTGATCTCTATCGAAACCCTGGACAGGATTCAATAAAGGAAGAACAAGAAGACAGAAATTAACAACAGATGAACAAAAACAGAGAAAGTCAAGGCACAAGCGGAATACACAGAAGCAAATAAGCAAGTGAAAAAGGGCATTTGAGCCGACAAACGGAAATACGTGAACGAACTAGCAACGACAGCGAAAAAAGCTGCGACAAATGAAAATACCGGACAATTGTAAGATATAACTATGAGTCTAGCAGGGAAAGTATAGTCACCCAGAGAAACCTGTTATGGAAAAAGAAGGCAAGCCAGTAATTGAGATCGAAAGACAGAGGAACAGATGGGTTTAACACTTTGAAGAATTATTGAATGGGCTACTTGTATTGGATCTACCGGATGTCGAAGCAAAACCTACAAACCTTTCTATAGATATCACTCCATCAACAGTCGAAAAAATCAAGATGGCCATCAGACAAATCAAGAGTGGGAAAGCAACATGACCTGACAATATACCAGCTGAAGAGGAAATTAAGAAAGAACGATGGAAGTTGTTTGAACATGTATTGGAGAAATCCTCAAACTACATCATATGGAAACGCTAACTCGGAATTCTGAAGGGAAACATAAAAGTGGAAGGCAGAAGAACACACAGTGTCGATAACTGGAAGTAGACATGAAAAGGATGAATAGCAACTGGAAGAGATTGTTAAGGACAGGGTTGGATGGAGAATGTTGATGAGCGGCCTACACTCCTCCATCAGGGTTAACAGGCATAAGTAATTTAAACATTTTGTTATATTTATAAGTGATTTATTTTTTTCGCTACTACTCAATTCGTAGTATTACCTATTATTCAGTTTGTAACTTGCTAATCTATTCAGTTGACTGTGTTTATAAGAACCTTTTACGCTTTCATTGGGCCGCTTTTATTCTTAAGGATGGAGAGGCAAATAAGCTTATCAGTATTCCAAATTCTTTGATTAATTTTTTCGTTGATGATGTGTGTAATAATCATGTACACAGTCTGAGCCCGAGAATTTACTTCCATAGCTTTTATTACTACCTTAGACATCATTTTCAGCTCTCGCAGCCCAACATTAAGGGTGGCCACCTACGTAAAGTAGCTTATGTACAGTTGAGGTAGGACAAACGCCATAAATGTGGTGATTGTTTGGCTATTGTATAAAACAGAAAGTAACAACCTACTTACAATTCATATGGTCGGTCTTCTTTTATATGAAGATATCTTGCTTGTTTTTGATCATATTGAACTGGATTGAATAGTTCCGGCTGTAGGTTCAGGTGGAAAATAAATATTTATGAGAAATGGCTAAAAATAGTTTGGTATTTTTCGATAAAACCGTAAAGTCTATTCGTTGTATTTTGAATTGGTTTGCAGTATCTGAATAAAGATTTTATTTCAACAACCTATCTACTTCTTCAGCTAGACAATATACTGAAAATATTCACTTGGTGTTGTTTACTTGTACCTTCCCATTGTTATTTAGGACTGCAATTGATCCGTCTCTTTGCTTATAAAGCTTGTGACTTAAGGCTATATCGAGGCAGTCCACACAGAATTCACATATACCAACATGAGACTGGCCAATTGCAGTCCTAAATAACAATGAGAAGATACAAGTAAACAATACCAAGCGAATGTAACTTCACGCCGTTGTACAAGCAGGTGGCTATCACGACTTAGTAGCTAAGCGGATAACGCGCTGGAGTTTGAAACGAACAGTGCCGGGTTCGAGTCCCAGAGTTGACACCAACTCTGAGATGCCAGTACACCCAGCTGGCGAGTCCCAAATAGGACAGAACGCGCGTCCTTGATTCCACTAACAGCCACTACTCATCTTTGCCTATACTATACTGAAAACCTATTAGTTGTCTGAGGCAATATTTGTTCATATTGCAGTATCATCGATTTGGTAATTGCGACTGTCATTTTGTAATATCATTCCGAGTTAAAAAATTTTAATGATATCCCTTGATCATATATGAATAAATATTATGTAAAACAGATAAAAGATATTCAGAGCTACACATTATGAGATTAAATCAGTCGGTAAGTGCTTGGTTTATTATGGTCAAACGACTTTAAACAAACGAGTTGCATTTTAGACTAGCATTATGAAAAAATCAACTGTGAGACTATGGAAATAATTTAACGTTGAGTTTACTCAGCTTGATATCAGTTTGAACTATAACCATTTCACTTTATCCATTAATTAATGCAAAGTAAATTTTTGAATATAAGTGTACTGAGGTATTATTTTTAATTTAAATTTTGGATGTGAAATGGACCTTTCTCTATTGTTTTTATTTTCTCGCTCCTGTGGCAAAACATACTCACTTTGCATGCACAAGTAATCAGTTTTAGAAGTTATTTAAAATGTAGACAACACTGTTCACAGGGGCTGTTTTGTAACAGTGTCGGTAGAAATCATTTAAATTGCTGGAGCAATTATTTTTATGTGATGAAATTATCAGAATATGTTATGATTTTTCACAATTTCAAAACTTGAATGCTTGTGCTTTGATCGCACCTTCAACAGTTTAACTATTTAACCTACCACATCTGAAGTACGAATCCAAACCCAACAACGCCTATTTGGGGTTCAGGAGTTTCAGAGTTTTATCAGAGACAATAGATAATCTAACGAAATAAAATTAATTTATGTCATCACGCTCACATTCTTGTTCTTACTCTTTCCAAAGGAGAGAACAAATCTGACACACAACCTTAAATCAATAAGTGGAGTATGTTATCAATTAACAATGACTAAGTACATGTTTCGGTTCAAATGGAAACACTGTTTAAAAGAATCCGATTATGATGCCACACTTGAGTACAAAAATATAGGAATTTCCTTCATATTAACTTGGCCAACAAACTAGGGGAAAACTCAGTACATGTATGAACTCATGGTCGAGATCAGACCTCTAAATTATAATACTAAGAAACCAGTCTAAAAATGACTGCAGCTTTAGAATCTAAACCAGTCATACCAGCCATATAAACCAACCACAACTCAAGTGACGATAATGAGTACTAAAGTAACTCATTTAACAATTAGTATGATGTTCCATGCAACTCTGAATTTGGAAGCATGACAAAGCAGATGTTAATCATTTTCGGTAACCAATCGTTTTTCAGCTTATTCCAGTACTCTGTAAAAACGACCATAAGATTTTGATGGAATACATAAAAAAACTGACCTATAGTGACAAATATGATGAGCATCATCCAAGATGCTCAAAACAATACATTCCAAGGAAAATTAGAAAATACATGATATCACGGCCTTAACACAGTCTTGTTCTGTGGTGTCTACAAATGACATAATATGAACATTGAAGCCCTATTGTTGATTACATGTCCATGAAGCTTGCCTAAAAACATTACTTCAAGACATATTGTAGTGTCAATGAACCATGAAAACAGTCTTAAGCACTAAATCAGTTGATCGCGACTAAATTTAAACGCAACCACTAATAATCACATTTATGGTTGGTTGATTCGCTCAATCTCCAAAGGCGTAGGCGATGATCTAGTTAGTTGGTTTTTGAATGTGATTACATATTCGAAATAATAGGATGCGTTTCACTAATGATGAGTACCACAGATGAAAAGAACTTACTATCCATGACTTGGTAGCAGGGTAATATGAATCACTATCCAAAAGACCTCTAATTGGGTCTGCAACAGCCTCGGAACTTTTTATAGGGTATAAGCGTCGGCACGTATTTCCGTAAAAATTCGATCGGTTTCCATATGCTCTAATATGAACGTAATACAATGTACTAAAAATGAAATTACGCTTGATAACTTGATGTATACATGTAACTTTGTGCAATTTTGTCATCTCCAGTTAAACGTCCGGTATTTAGCATATCCTGCCAAATGTTTTGAAGAATAAAAAAGCGTGACTTATGAAAAACATACAAGTTGTGGAAATATCGAAGTCCTTAATAGCTGTTTGGACTGATAGTTCTCACTTTTTAGGCTTGCTTAAGAGATTACAGGACGTCAAAAACCGCAATTTTACCGGCAAACCTTCCTCGAATTACTTGGTCACTAATGAATTTAACATGCATTGGTAATGGTTTATTCAAGGTTTCCGGAGGTGCTATGTTTGAACCTTCTCTGAATGCACTAATGTCCTTATAATAAAACATTTTTGCATAAGCATTATAAACTACCCCCGGAGACATATTTTGAGGCTTCCGTCTGTCAATACCCCTTCTCTCTTCAAGTCGGTTGAGTAAAGACGCTGGCGCAAGATTGGATATATTTGTGGAATCTTCTAATGTCGTCAATGTTGGGTACTTTGGTGGAAATCCCAATTTTTCCCGTTCTTTAATAGAGTTTTCATTTTTTAATAGAACATGTCTCTTGTTTTCTTCTTCAACTCTTACCCTTCTGTCTAAATCACTCTCCTTGTTTTGACTATTCTTTATACATGGACGGCTCATACCAAGACCTTGAATTTTAAAATGTCAAACGATAGAATTTGGAACGTTGCTATACGAATGGAACATTATAAGAAAAACGAACAGTCCTGAACAGAACAGATGACTTTGCCCAGCAAGATTCTGTAGATAGTCGACAAAAATAAGCGAAAACAACAGTTCTGGAAGCAGAGCACAATACTCCTTATTTGAGTAAGTTTTTACGTTACAAGATGCTACTCACTGAGGTGCATCAGCACTTTTGTGAAATAATTTTTCCCGTGTGATATAAGGCAGCTGCGCAAAATTTTAAGTAGTAAAACCAAGCACCCGAAGTAAAATGTCAATATTTTATGTAGGATGTGTTATGTTGGACCAGTAGATTGTCACTGACCCGTCGACCAGTGAACTGGCAGGTAGACCACTGAGTGTCGAGTAGTTTATTGAGCCCCGCCGTGGTTAGGATAAATCAACGTTCATCAGTCAGCTGCATGTCATGGCTCGGCCCATGCAGCGATGGAGCATCTTTGTGTTTCTGTAATCTTTTCTTACTAATACGACCATTCAGTAATGTCATGTTTGTGCTATTTAACCATCTGAGTAACAATAGCACTTGGACACCGCAAAAGGCGATAAACATAGAGTAATCGCCTCCATAATGTCGCATTATTCTCTTCCAGCCCGAGTAGACCACGATCATCCACAAAGAACTCCTAAATTGATGATCTACGGTAGCTCTAAGCTAGACTGCAAATTATGGAACACGTACATAATACAAAGCATATGAACATAAATATGAATCTTATTGTCCTACATAGGCAGATTGAGTCAGTGTGCTTGTCTTTTTTCTAATTTGTTGACTAAACCCAAACTATTAGCAAGGTGTCAACGTTTTACTATATAAACGGCCATTTGGCTCATGAACACATATATAACACGATCTGCCAAATATAAATATTGCCGTACACCCCGTTGAAATGATCTATTCTGATTGTTATACATCGAAGTGAATTAACTCAATACAATATTCATTCCAAATGTACATAGATTTATTATGGACATAACTAGATAACACTTTCAATAATAAGTATCTGTAATTGGTTTGTGGATAGTTTCAGGTTTAAATGATCATTATATAATTCACTTTAACGACCAAGTTTTCAGATCCTGCGCTGCAGAACATCTAAGAAAACTCTATCCTTTCTTACCATATAGGTCACACAAGTGTTCATTCTTAAACAATGCACACATACATACACACACAAATTTACATACTTATCACTTATGAATCACCTTGACAGAAATGACATGACATCAACTTGTTCAGACCTGTTTTTGATTGATCAAATATTATTCTTGCATTGTTCTGTTGTACTATTTAAACTTGGATTAATTTAATTTGGCTATTTATTCTCTGAAGAAGTGACTTACACTAAGCCACGAAACGTCAGAAAAATCCAATTTTCTACTCATTGGGATATTACAAATATATTATTTTTATTTATAAGAAAACAACTGTTTAGTGCCTTCTCTGAAAATAAAGATTTGTTAAGACCTGCCAAACAAGTTGACGGTTTGACGGCTTAAGGTTTCAAACCAAAAACTTGGCCAATGAGCCCAAAACTAATGAGAGAGGGTTTTCCGCATCTTAATACTATGGAAACAGTAGTTGGCGCAATTTTAAATCAAAGTTGAATACATAAAACGCTTCAGATTGAACGAGAGACAGTATACGAAATTCTGTAATTTCGTGAATAGTAAACCCGTATTCAGGATTACTATCTACCCTTTTATCTTTCTTCAATCCCCTGAGTTTTAATCCTTCAGTAAAGCAAGTTGTGCGGAATATTTGTAGGTCTTGTACTGTTTGCAGCCAGGTTATGAGTATCAGTGTTACTTCCTCGTTGAATGGTTGTATTAATTTTGTGCTCAGGCTAGGACACATTGGCGTTCCCAGTAAAAACCGGTGATGAGATCAGGGAGAACATCGGGACGACTTGCCTGTGTCTTTCTTGTAGTGCTTTCAAGATCAGTCACTTTAGGTTAAGTGGTCATGATAAATACATAATCGCTAACCATCTTGCAGCTTGTTGCTTTGCGATCAGTCTATAGTTTCTCTTATAAAGATTACAGTTGCCATTGGAAGTCTTGATTGCACGGATCGATAGGATTTTAAATGAAATCTAATGGATATATTTGGTAATACCCATTTTCAGACGTATTCCGCAATAGCTTTGTACTATCTACGAAAGACAGAGACCAGGTACTGTATGTTTGTAAAAACAGCCCAGCTATTATTAATAAGTTGACGTCCGTGGGCCAGTGCGAATGTGTTATTTTCAATGAAAGTCGAGCTGCACAGACATTATGAGTGCTACGGAAGGAATTGTATATAAAAGCCCCAACTGATAGTTCGTGATTTTTATAGAGAAGGGAGTCTGTGAATACATTTAAACTTTGCACGAAATAGACTCAGAAAAAGTTTGAACTTGGAAGTTTCCACACGGTCAAGTCAAGCGCAATAAATTTTAATTTCAATCCTGTGATACTATTCGAAATAAACCAAGTTGACTGGAGCAGTATGTGGTCAATAAAAATATCAGGCTGTTTCTTTACCAAGATAGGTTTCTGAACACGGCCTGTCTGATAGCTGAACACAGATTCATATGACCTCGTCCCTGTGCCAAACCCTTGACGGGTTGACCAGCAGGACCAGCCTAAAGTCAACTCTGAGTCCTTATTGGTCCTACTCGTTGAGTTCAGAACACAATCTCAGCTTTCGCTGTATGAATAATGTATTTCAGACATACACAGTTTATACATAAACAAGTCAAACCGCATCACACCATAAAATAGAAATTAAGCTATACAGGACCAAGCTTGAAGTGAGAGACTGTAACTAATGGGTTGGAAATAACTTACGAATAGTAAACCGTATAATAGTAGTAAGTAGGTCGAATGGAGGCTTATAATGATATATATATAGGGCGAATTTATCCGCAACGCAACTATGGAAACTTAATGTATCGCCCAGGTTCATCTGTGCGTTCAAGTAACCACAGATTTTGTCATTTCGTAACGTATTTTTAATCAAATAACTAGATTATGTTGTTAATTCTGCTCTGTTTTTAATTTTTATTCGCCACGTCCGACTGCGTTACACTGTACGTTCATTGCACGCTGGAATGATATCTCAAGTAATAGTGAGATTAATCACATAGTTGATTGTTTCCAGATAGACCGTCAGTGCATGATGTTACTGAAGAAAGGTTTGTTGTACTGTGAACTATGCTTTTTAATGGACAACTGACTGTTGTCTTCAGTCTCGAAGCAATATATATATCCTTTATCTTCTGTTAGGTAAGTTCGACTGGCCTATATTTCGTGTGTTGGTTTTATCGGCTTAATTATGTCCATTTAACTACTTTGAGCAACATGTCTATGGAAATGAAACAATAATTATGACACTTGCTTAGTTTAGTATTCTTGGTTGTCGTATAGTTCAGTTTAGTCGGAAGAATTATGGTATACTTAAGTGCAGTGCTTGAAGCTTGTAACGAAACATATCGGTTTAGTAAGTAGAGCTTCCTGTTTCTAATGAGTATGTAGTGGCATTGGACAATAGCCATACAATCCACAAAGCTGTGAACACGAGACTACTCAGAAAATAGATATTCAATATTTAACCTAACGATGGACAAGGCGCGGAGAATGAATTAAATGGACTGGAGTTGATCGAGTGGCATGGCTCGGCCATTCAGGCGTGGTCACTGCCGAATATTACCTTATACCCTTTATTCATATTAAATATATTGTTCTTTCTCTAGCCTAAGCTTGTTCTTCATCATGTATTGGTAGTCGTTACGATACAGTGAGTTGGTGTAGTCGATGGTGTGACTTCCACGTAAGATCTTATAGACTAGGCAGTTATATCATGACAAATCTACAAATTTAGGATTAGGTCTATTATAAGAGCAGTACTAATATCATAGTAGACCATAAGTATACTGATTGAAATCAGTCTGATTGAAAATAGGAAAAAAATGCCTTCGGTACTGTTGCTGTCATACATTATAAGATAGCTTTGAGTATGTTTGGTGTTTATTTCTAGACTGTACATCTATCACTGACCATATTTCAAGATTACTGTCATCAAACAATTTCCCCAGCAATAACATCAGTAGCAGGATAGCTAAGCGCTTGAGCTTTTAGTTGGCCGCAAAACAGCAGTATGCAGTCGTAGAAGATGAGTGTTCTGTGTCTCAATTAAATGTAGCTGGCTGTGGATAAATGTTAAGAATCTTTTTGACAACTGGGACTTTTAGTTTATCAGACACTAACTCTGCTTGTATGCCTTCCTGTTAAACTAGATGCAGATGCATAAGAATACTTAAATGGGAGCAAAATAATAAAAGCATTGCGATACGGCACTAAGCCCATGTGATGCTTTGCACAAGTAATAGTAGCTGACCTGATATAATATTCATGAACTTGTAGATCGCCAACGTAGATGATCTATGTCGAAATGATTGGAGGCCTACTCGAGTTAGACGTGAATGGTGTGACGAACCAACTAACGCCGAAGTCACACCTCGTGGTCAGCACCTTACGTGGACTACCCCCATTGACGTATCAAGGTACTATAGATGCTTTGAAGACTGTACAACACAAAGGACGTTATTACAGAAATATATTAGTCAAAGTAGATACAAGCGAAAGTAAGACCACTGCCGCATGGGCCAGTCCATGGCATACCATTAACTAATGCGCGTTGGTTGTACATGACTTTGGCAGGGAGCGACGATTTGTTCGACATTCAGTGATCCAACTGCCGGATGATTTGGCTAGGGCTCAGTGACATTTCACTGGCCCTACAAACTCAAGGTAAATCACAACTGCATAAATTCTTTGCTAAAAAACATGTAATTTGATTGTTTATCTATTCCACATTTCTGACTAAATTCATTACTATTTTTTCATTTAAAATGCAACAGAAGTGAGCCTTCACAGATCCTAAGAACTGT